CGACCCCTTCCCTGCCAAAGCCGGCCGGTTGTGCAACGCCGCTCGCAGCCAGGGAAAATCCCTTCCTGGCCTCCGCAAGCTCCTCTCGCATCCCGGAGCATGTGAGCGAGTGCATCACCGCCCGCTTGCTCGCTCATTGAAATCCAGCTCGGGGATTTGGCTCTTCTGCCCTTACATGGGCCGGGCCGCCGGAGCCAGGGGTCACGCCGGCCGGGAACAGGGACAGGGAAGGGAGCAGCGCTGCTCAGCCCGGGGCCAGCAGCACGCCAGGAGCCGGCGCAGCCGGGGGCTGCCGCCTCTGCCCTTCCTCCCCAGGACAGCAGCCCCTCCGCTGTCCCTCACGGCGCTGCTCCCTGCCCCGTACACACGCTGCCCGGGGGTGTTGTGGCACTGCAGGGCACGAGGGCTCCTCCACCGAAGCCCTGTGGTTTACACCAATGCCACCTGGGGTAAAACCCCAGCCCTCCCCGTTCCTGTCCCCTCCCCGGGGCTGTATGGGGAGAAGGGGAGGAAGGTCCGCCTTGGTGGTGGTCCAGCCCGCTGCCCTTCCCTGGGACTTGTCCTTAGGACGGAGGGAGGGATGGGGACGTGGTGGTGCCGGCGCACACAACTGCTCTGCCTGTGCTGGCTGCTGCCATCCCACCCCGCGCTCCCCCGGCCGTGGGACCCGCGCTGCTCCCTGTCTCACTGGACCACTGCATCCAGCCCCACCCCGCGCCAAAGCGAGCTGCTCATGCTGTGCTGGCACCGGCTCGGAGCAAGGAGGCTGCTGCGGGGCCGGAGGGGTGGTGCAAGGTCCCCCGGGCCCTCTGGCCGGGGCCCCTCTCCTGAAAGAGCCCGGCTCAGCTCTGCCGAAAACATGACCTCAGCTGAGGCCAGTGCAAAGGGTAAAATGTTCCTCAGCTGCACAGCCGGGAGACGGACACAGAAGTTCACGGGGCTGGAGAAGGTCCCTGGGCTGCAGCAGGAGGAGCGGGGACAGGCAGAGAGCCCGGTGTCCCCAGTGCTCTGCCCGGGAAGTGCAGCGATGGACGGGGGGCCCTGACGGTGCCCCGACCCCCCTTGCAGACGGGTGGGCGATCTCTCTGTGGTGGCACCAAGTGGGGAGCGAGGCCGGGCGATGTTGGGGAGCCAAACCTACC